CATATTTTTAGTTGTCCAGCTAATTTCTTTCTATTTTTAGTAGAGACGGGGTCTCGCTCTTGCTCAGGCTGGTCTTGAACTCCTGAGCTCAAACGATCCACCCGCCTTACCCTCCCAGAGTGCTAGGATTACAGGCGTGAGCTACCGCGCCCGGTCATGAACTTCTGTTTTATTCCATAGGTTTGTACTTAGTATGTAATAGTTTGTGGCTGGGACTATCACATTTAAATAGATTTTAAATATGTGAATCTCTATTTTACAGGCTACTGATGCTCTAAAGAAAGTGTATATGGAATTTCCACGACTATACAATAATAGTATTGTCTGCTCTTTCTTGCCAGATGTTATCTACAAGGTAATATGCAGGATTTTTTCTTGTACATATTATTAGGTTAGCTGGTAGAGATAATAGCAGTGGACTATGTAAGCGTAAGATAGATGCCTGTTAAATTGAACTGAACCAAGGTAACAGTTAAGAGCTGCTCTTTTAAATTAACAAGAGAAATTCCAGAAGGAGAATGTACTCATACCCCATTTTAAAATGCCATGATTGCTTTTTAGCCCCTTCTTTTATGTTGTTTATAGCTGATTCAGATTACTTTAGTAAAATTATCAGAGCAGAAAAGAGTTACGTAGTCCAATTTCTCACTAAGTAACAGCAGAACATACCTTTAAAAAAGAAACAACTCTTAATTATGGTGAATTTAAAATATGCATAAAATAGGGTAGTACAATGAACCCCCCTTTAACCATGATCTGGTTCATTTCATCCTCCACTGATATCCCACAATGTTATTTTAAAGCAAATCCTATCATTCAATCCATAAAAATTGCATTAAGTATTTTTTAAAGTGATGCCTTTTTTAAAACATAACCATGATACCATTGTCCCATTTAAAAACTATTAACAAATATCCAATGTATAAATTTTCACTTGTGTCAGAAATGTTATTAATGGTTTTTTGTTTGTTTTTTACAAATTATTCATTGGAATTAGGACCCAAATAAGGTCTGCATGTTACAATTTTAAATCTTAAAACCTGCAAGTTCTCTCTCTCTTTTTCTTCTTGTGTTGTATTTACTAAAGAAACCAGATTATGTGTTTTGTAGCGTTTACCCAAGTATGGATTTTGCTGATTATGCCATGATATAGTTTAATACATTCTTCTCTTTATTTCCTACAAATTGATAGTAAGAGCTAGAGGCTTGGCTTAATCAGGTTAGAGCTGACTATTCTTGGCAAGATAATTTTGTAGGTGAGGGTGTTTTCCAACCAGTTAATAACATCTAGTTAACTGTCTGTTGTTTTTGTTGGCTGCTATTGATGCTCAGTGGCCAGATCTCTGAATTTACTAAGGGGTTGAAAAAGTTGATATTTTATTTGTATTATTGCTTCTTCTTGTATTAGCTAGAATACATCTATAAAAAGAAACTTCTCCTCTATTATTTAGTTATCCAGCAGGAAGGATAAATGTTTAATCTTTCTCTTTATTTACCAGTTTCCAAAACATTAAGTTGGTTCTATACCACTCTTCAACAGTGACCAGTGGAGCATACATTTAAAATTGTTACAGTGAGAGTAGAGCCTATCCAGATAGAAGCTACAATTGTGATTAGGGTCATGGGACTTTCAGACATTTGGAACAGTGTTTCTCAAACTTTCTTGACCACAGAGGCCTTTAAACTGTATGAGGCTTTCTCCAGAGGAGTGAGAGAGCCCAGACTGAAGGAACTCCATCCACTTCTCTCCGTTTCTCCTTTGCCCTCTTCTCATTCTCTCTTCTTGGTCCCTTCTCACCTCCCCTTCCCATCCCCACAACTCTTTTCAGCCTTTTGCTCTCGAAAGGATCAAAGCTAACCAGCCCTTCTTGAAATGATCATGATTCCATCCTCATTGAATTCTAATTAATTATATCTGGTCAGAATTTAAATCGATGTCCAGTGAAAAGTTTAATTCTTATGGCATTAAAATTTGACCCTGAGATTATAATTTTCTCATATTAAAGATGGGATTGAAGTTCTTCTGGATTATGAAAAAAGTATTCTCTTTTATACTGCATATTAAGTGCTTTACATTCATCATATTATTTTTTCAAAGAGTTTACAATAGACTTATTTAGTAGAGATTGGAGCAGGGTACTAACTATGACCACCTCATAAGATTAAGTACATTGGCTAAATCTAAACTGATGATTAGTATTAGATTTAAGATATGATAATGATTTCACTTCCCAAAATTCCTTTTCAGATGAGACAAACAGATCCGAATGTAGTAACAGCTTTGATTCACAGACCTTGGAGCCTTAGCCATACAGGAGATGGGAAACCACGCTTTGATACTTACTGGAAACATTCTATGTTTGTGATAGTGGACATTTTGCTCGATTGGAGCATGCATAATATCTTGTGGTACCTGTGTGGAATTTCAGCTTTCCTCGTGCAAAAGGATTTTGTATCCCCGTAAGTTGGAATGTTTTTTGTTTTCTCCTGACACATTTCCTGAATGTTCTTCTTGGAAAGGAAGAAATAACAGAGTGGACAACCAAGATTGGTTCTGACCTGCAAAGTTTACCATGCCTCTAAATTGGAATGCCACTGGCTTCTTAGGTGGGAAGAGTTCAGGCATATATCACTGTTTCCAACCAGGTTGATCAGATAGTCTTGGTTTTTTAGTGCATTAAAAAAAAAGAAGAAGAAGAATCTGCCAAACTGTGGTGAGAAAACGATTTTATTTCTTGTGATTGACTCCTTTTGAAAACCAACAGGATCTTGGGCAGAGCCATAGTGAATTTATCTATGGGCACCAGCCTCACCCCTACCGTCTTTCCTCCTGCTTCTCTGAACATTATAGGCTCTGCCCCATCTCTTCCAAGAAATTTTCCACTTCCTAACTTGCTAGCAATCTCTGAATCTTTCTTCTGGCAATTTTATAGCTGTATATTTCAGCAGATTAGAGTTGTAAGTTTCATATTATTTTAGACATACATGTGTTTAGTTCAGTAAATATTTGGTGAGTGCCCACAGTATTGCAGGGTACCGTATTAAGAAGCTGAAGATGCAGTGGTGAAGAAACAAAGCCATGGTCTCTGCCCTCATGGAGCTTATAGCCAAGCGCAAGAAAGGGATACTAATCAAATAAAAATCCGATAAATATAAAATTACAACTAAGATATCTAAGATACATGCCACGTAGGAGAGAACAGTGTGCATAGCCTGTGTAATCCGTCCTAGTCTGGGTAGTCAGGGAAAGCATCCCCAAGGAAGTGCCAATTAAGCTAGGATCTGAGGGTGAGTAGGAACCAGGGATGGTCCAGGTCAGAGGGAAAGACACATACAAAAGAGTTGTGGCAGGAAGGAGCATGGTTCTTGGAAGAAATTGAAGAAAAATTAATATTCTGCAGCACAGAAAAGAGGGGAAGTATGGTATGAGATGAAGCCAAAGAGACAGATAGGTGCCAAGCCAGGTGCACCTTCAGTGGCTGTGCCAAGGACATTCGGGGCAGGGGCTGTCATTAGCAAGCTACTGAAGTGCTTTAAGCTGGAACATTGTGGAGGAGGTTCACAGCATGCTGGGTTTGGAACACTTTTTTTTTTTTTTTTTTTGAGACAGAGTCTCACTGTGTTGCCTGGGCTAGAGTGCCGTGGCGTCAGCCTAGCTCACAGCAACCTCAAACTCCTGGGCTCAAGCAATCCTCCTGCCTCAGCCTCCCAAGTAGCTGGGACTACAGGCACGTGCCACCATGCCCGGATAATTTTTTCTATATATTTTTAGTTGTCCAGATAATTTCTTTCTATTTTTTTTAGTAGAGATGGGGTCTCGCTCTTGCTCAGGCTGGTCTTGAACTCCTGAGCCCAAACAATCTGCCCACCTAGGCCTCCCAGAGTGCTAGGATTACAGGCATGAGCCACCGCGCCCGGCCTGGAACACTCTTTTTGATTGCAGTGCAGAGGCCAGTTAGGCGGCTTTCTCTGGGCACTTTTGGTGCACAATGAACACCATACTTAGTGACCATTTTACATTCCTGAGACAGATGGTCATTATTCTAACAGGATTGATTTTTCTTCTTTCTCTAGGAACTACTTGAAGAAGTGGTCAGCTAAAGGAATCCAGGTTGTTGGTTGGACTGTTAATACCTTTGACGAAAAAAGTTACTACGAATCCCATCTTGGTTCCCCCTACATCACCGACAGCATGTTGGAGGACTGCGCGCCTCACTTCTAGACTTTTACCCAGGGGAGGAAACACGGGTTCAGAAACTACCAGTGGCCTCATGTAGGGATATCAAAATACCCTTTGTGCTAGCCCAGGCCCTGGGGGATAAGGTGGCTCACACAAGCAATAGTTGTTAATTTCATCTTTACCTGAACCAAAGCAAAACCCAGTGTTGCCACCATGCTCCATGGAATGCCTAAATTCAACACTGTTGCTCTTGAAAATCTGGGTCTGAAAAAAGGCACAACAGCCCCGCCCTGACCTACCTGAAAGTATACACAGGGACCCAGTGACGATAAGCACAGATTGAGTTGTGCAGTTTGGGGATGCAGATGTAAATGCATGAGGCATGCATGATCACTCAAGAGTTGACATTTTAAAACTTGCCACACTTAAGTATTTTACTTATTTCAAATATTTGTATTCAGCCATGTTAACAAGGTACTGTAGATGTCAAACTTGAGGCCATACTAATAAAATCATTAAAAGGAGCACTAAAGGAAAACTGTCCCAAGCATCAAAGCCTGAGGCATAAGGAATTTGAGGAAGCTGCTTTGTATAATCCAGTGAAGATTCAATGTGCAGCAACCAAAATGGTAGGGAAGTTTTGAAACCAATCTGAGGAATTATTTATGGTATTTTGAATTAAGTGCTACAAACCACCAGGTGGCAGAGTTGCACTTTTCCAGGCTTATTAGGAAGCTCTATAACAGATGATTATAGAAAATTAGAACTGGAAGGAACTTCCAAGAACATTTAGGCTAATCCTCATTTTACAAATTGGAAAACTAAAACCTGTGGAAGGGAAGGAGTTCCCTCAAAAATCACACAGCTTATGATAGCAGAGCCTGATCTCTTGATAACTAAAATTTCTTGTTTACAATTGGCCAGGCACTGTATAAGTGGTTTAACGTGCATTATCTTATCCAACCCTCAGAAAAATCTTATGGAGATGTTAACATTCTTTTTACTGATGAGGAAACTGAGGCACTGCCTAGTTAAAGTCACAACCAAGGTCTCCGAGTCTGTGGTACAATTGATATTCCAATATAGGTTAATCTGCCTCTGGAGCCACTGCTCTTAACCACTCACCAAGTCTGCCCTACTCTGTGCTCTTTCCCACATGAACTTCCAGGGGTTTTATTGTGAACTTATGTAGCAATATTTAAGTTGAATTTTTAAAAATGGCAACGCTGTCTGTAGCTCACCCCTTCCCACCTTTGAACCCCATCTGTAGCCTTTATCCCAGGCCCACATCTTAGCTATGGCTTCCCTCCTGTATCCCTCCAATAGGTCACCAGCCTCACACACACTTGCAGGGGCCAGGCGATGAGAGTTTTGAAAGACCACCAGTCCACTCAGCTAGGTGTCAGAAGCAAACTGATTTTTTTCAACAGTTAGTGTTGGCAGGGACACAATAGATGGGACTTGGCACATTTTCAATCAACACTTACAAAGAAATTTTCTTTAATTTTAGAATTAAAAACAAAGATTTGTTCACTGAACAAATGTCTAAACTGCATGTACTTCGATGCCACATTATGAGGAGAGTGAAAAGGTGGAGGAAAAAGTGACCAAAGAAGACACATCTGTAGACTGAATTCAGCCCTGGGGTACCTTCTGAGAGTGCACAGGCAATTGACAGGGAAGGGTTTCCCTTGGGGAAGTATTGAGTTAATAACATCCTTTTTGTTGTGTGGAGACCTCTAGACAGCCAGGACTTTTCTGTCTCTTGACCTTCATCCCGAATTCATTTTGCCCTTGATTTAGCTAAGCCAAATTAAGCATTTGGGTCCTATGCTAAGGTGGTCTGGGCTTTGAACAGTGGAGAATTCAGATGATGATATAAGGTGTTAATAACTATTAATACTAGCAGTAGTTATTAAGTACTTCCTTGGAAGACTTAGTATAGGGTTAAAAACAGGATTTGGATGGGAGAAAAAGCCAAGTCTGAATTTCTGATGAGCAACTTACTAGCTGTATGACCTTGGGCAAATTACTTAATTTATCTGTAAAACAGAGGTAGAATTTGTACCAGCTCAAAGGGTGGGTGTGATTAAATGAAAGTGCATGTAAAATGTTTGTTAATTAATATTTATTGACTGCCTATCATGTACGAGGCACTTTTAAATGCTTTCCATGTATAGTATTTAGTCTTTGCAACAACACTGTGAGGTAGATACCATTACAATCCCATTTTATAGTGAAGGAAACCAAAGCACAGGCAAGTTAAATAACTTGGCCAAAGTTACATAGCAGTGATAGAATAAAGATTTGGACTTAGAATAAGGATTCTAGAATTAGATCACTTAGGTGAGCCCATACTCTTAACCATTGTTAACATCATTGTTCCTGACAAGGACTCAAAAAATTAGAAACATCTTAATCATTCCCAGCATCTATCACAGTGCCACTCACATAGTTGATGCTCAATAAATGTTTTGAAGGAATGAATTTTGGAACCTTCAAGTGGTAACTCATTGAGGAAACTCTAGAGATAGACCTAGAGTGAGATGAAATTTAAGGTTGTAGATAAATGACTGAGGATTGAGCAGTATCAAGAGGCTGGCTAAAGCCATGCTCCACAGCATTCTTTCCAAGAGAAAGCACAGATTAAAACACATCCTGCTGCTCACTGGACTGCCCCTCTGCCCCTCAGGATATCAGAAACAGAGATAACAAAGGGCTACCTAAGAAGGCTTAAGAAATCCACTACTTCCTTGATTATATGACACTCATTTTCTTATTTGGAGATTGGTGTCGCAATCCTATTTCAACAAGAATTTGACCAAGATGTATTTTTATTGGATACAAATTTCTCAATAAAATTACATCTACCATTTCCTAAAGCAGGGACAGGGCTTCAACAGAGCAGTAAACCACAGCTTTGAGCACAAGGGTGTGGGCTAGTGAAGTGATCTAAGCAATCACTCAGACCCTTGTTAGCATGGAGTGATCATTACTGTAGGACAAGGTTATGAGACTTCTTTGATCAAAAATATTGAATAATGACCTCATTTGTTCTATTACCAAACTTTACGCTAAAAATCTAACCATCAATAGAACACTGAATGTTAAGCAGAGGTTGGGTTATCACCTATGCACAGTCGTTCTCAAAGGATGATGTCTTTTTGGACATATATTCAACATCAGCATTATGGGAAACTTGTCAGAAATGCAAATTCTCAAATCCCACCCAGAACTTCTGAATCAGAAACTCTGGTTGGGGCCCAGTGATCTGTTTAAACAAGCTGTCCAGGTGGTTCTGACACACAGTCAAGTCTCAGAACCACTGAGCTAGAGAAACACATCTAAGACAAGCTTCTGGGAAGCTCGAAGACCTAAATTCTGTCACTATCTGGCTATGAGACCTTTGACAAATCACTTAACCTATGTGTGCCTAAGTTTTCATCATCTGTCAAATGGTAATCATAATTTGCTCTAATTATCTTATAGTGATAATCAGGTTCAAGTGACGAAAAAAAAGAGGAATTGTTTTTAAAAACATATTAACAGTGTAATACTATTGTTATGAAGACAAATTAAGAAAAGTGCAAGTGCTCTAACACCGTATTATTCAGTGTGGTGGTCAGACCCACAGCACTTGTTAGAAATGCAGATTCTCAGGCCCCATCCCCAGCCTCACAAATTAAAATTTGCATTATAACCAGATCCCCAGGTGATGAGACTTGGAGAAACACTCATAGGTGTAAGGCATTACTCTTACCCTGCAGGTGCAATCTTGAGCAAAGCAGAGCCCCCCCTCCCACCCCCAACCTCTGCTCCACACCTGAGCTTCCCTCTCTGGGTTCTTTCTCACAGTTGATCAGCCATAAATATCATGAACCCCAGCTTTGAGAATTTAGGGAGGTATCGTTAAACACTGCCATTCTGAAAGACAATTCCTATTAAGAATTGTCTTAATGAGCTCAATTCATACCACTTGTCCTCAATTCAAAGATTATAAAAACATGCAAATCATATGCTATTTTAGTCATCCCTTTTATAATTGAACTATACACAAACTCATTGCCTCCTAAGAAATGAGCTGGCCATTCACTGTAGCCACTTGAAGGCTCAGATCCTGCAAAAATTCAAAAGAAGCTATCCTTTTTTATACTCAAAACTACGGGGGTTCTCCAGGTTTCAAGTGACTGTTAGAAAGCGTTGGTTACTTTTATCATTTTGAGCTAATTAAAGTAAGGGTGGGAAGAGAAGAATAGGGAATGTTCCTGAATGTTCCTGAAGATTCTGATGCAATATTCTCAGCTCACCATTTGCATGTTTAATAAGTGTTTCAGGTAGCTCTTACAGTCAGGCAAGTTTGGAAAGAACTCTAGATCCTAGCTCAGTGGCTCTCAAACCTGGCTTCCCACTAAAATCATCTGGGGAGCTTTCAAGATAAAGTACAGATATCCAGGTCGTGGTTCAAAGATGCTGACTTAGCCGGTCTACAGTGAGGCCTGGCGTGCTTGCCGTTAACAGTTCTTCATGTGACTCTGAGTACAGCCAGTGTTGAGAACCCCACTGCCTAACCACAGGCTTCTCCCCCTGTGAGGAACTGAATCGTGTCCCCCAAGATTCACATGCTGAAGTCCTAACCCCCAGTACCTCAGAATGTAACTGTATTTGAAGATAAGGCCTTTAAACAGGTGATTAAGTTAAAATGAGGCCTTTAGGGTGGGTCCTAATCCAAACTTACTAGTGTCCTTATAACAAGAGGAAATTTGGACACACAGAAACACCCGGGCATCTGTGTGCACGGAGGAAAGACCACGTGAAGACACAGTGAGAAGGTGGCCATCTGCAAGCCAAGGAGAGGGGCCTCAGAATGAAACCAACCCTGCCAGCACTTTGATTTTGGATTTGCAGCCTCCAAAACTGTAAGAAAATATTAATAAATTTTTGTTGTCTCTAAGCCACCTAGTCTGTGGTGTTGCGCTAGGGCAACCCTAGCAAACTACTAGTAATATATCCCCTATCTCAAGGCAAGTGTTGAAAGCATCCTTCTCACACCTAAATGTGTGCGCATGAGACCTACAGACCAGATCTTTCTTTTACACCTCCAGGAGAGCAGGGGCTGCACTGAGGTGGAAATAAGGGATGGAGGTGGATGGAGCAGCACTCCACATAGAGGCACTTAGCATCTGGTAAGTGAGCAGAAGTGACACTTTCAGAGGGAGCTCACATTTCATTGCAGAAGCCAAAGCAGCACAAACAGCATTAAGATGACCCAGAGGGGGAAAAAAAATCACTTCAAACATCACTCCATGGGCTGCCTTTGCTGACCCCACAGACAAGTCTCCCATAGTCTCCTGTGCTTCCCCTTCAGAACCCCTATCACAACCATAATTAATTATTGTTTGAGTATTAAGTTCATGTCTAAATTGATCTGCTAGACAGTAAACACCATGATTTGTTCACCACCTTTTTCACCGCCACTTGACCCAATATTTGTTGAATGAACAAATGAACGGATGAATCTACTAGCAACCACTACCAAAGATGATACCAAAAGAAATTAATTCAGTTAATGAAGTGAATTAATGAATAAATAAGTAAACAAAAAAGTAAATCAATGACTGAACACTGATGGGGTGCTGGTGTTTCAAATGTAACTTAAATGCTTTCTAAATTCAGTTCCAATGAGATTTTATGACAGTGATTACTTAAGAGGAGACTCCTCTCCCCTGAGTAATTTGCACTCTTCTGAGGGACCCTCAGTTTTAATAACAGTCACATGCCTTGTGAATCATTTGGAAAATCTGCAAAAAAATTACACACATTCATTACATATGCATACACACATATTCCATGCATCACCACTGCTTTCATGTTTGATTCAACATAAGACTTTGTTTGTTTTTAGAGACAGGGTCTCACTCTGTCACCCAGGCTGGAGTGCAATGGCTTGATCCTCCTGCCTCAGGCTCCTAAGTACCTGGGAGTACAAGTATGCACCACCACCCCCTGCTAATTTTTTTAAAATTTTTTTGTAGAGATGGGGTCTCACCATGTTGCCCAGGCTGGTCTCTAACCCCTGGCCTCAAGTGATCCTCCTGCCTCAATCTCCCAAAGTGCTGGGATTACAGGCATGAGCCACTGCACCCAGCCCCATATGAGGTTTTATACATGACCAGTGTTTCATGTCAAGGGCACAGTGGCTTATGCCTATAATCCCAGCACTTTGGGAGGCAGAGGCAGGAGGATCTCTTGAGGCCCAGAGTTTAAGACCAGCATAGGCAATATGGTGAGATCCCTGTCTCTGTAAAAAATGAAAAAATTAGCCAGACATGGTGGCATGCGCCTGTAGTCCCAGCTACTCAGGAGGCTGAGGCAGGAGGATCGCTTGAGCCCAGGAGTTCAAGGCTGCAGTGAGTTGTGATGATACCGCTGCACTCCAACCTGGGCAATAGAGTGAGACCTTGTCTCAAACCAAACAAAAACCTCATAGGGGAGACCCCCCTCCATCCCTCCAGTCCAACTCCAGATATTTGTATACTCAATATGCAAGAAAGTTCAGGGATAAGGCCTCTGGTTGTACTTCACCTTTTGAAGACATGGGGATGTTTTTAGCTCAAAGTCATGAACGAATGCAGGTTCCAAAACGCAGAAGCTTCACATCCCTAATTGAGGATCACATTTTTATTCAGCCTGAACCACTTTTCTTAGCACCAGTTTTAAACCTTTGCCAGGTCTGGGGGGTTGGGAGGGGAGATTCCCAAGGACCAATCATTCAAACACATATTTCTTGAAGATAAAATACATCATTCCCAAGTTATCTCTTCCCAGATATTTGTGGGCTCATTTCAATATGACAACAGTCTTTATTGGAAAACCTCAAGTATTTTGTCTTAAAAAATTAGCAATCCAGGTGTTGAAAAAATATCAGGGACTGTCCAATTTTAGTTTGATATTTACACTGTAGTCAGTTTCCACTCCTGGCTAAAGGCTTGGATTCCCCTTCTGGGAGGCTCCCAAAGGCCCATGGAAGGTGTCACAGAAGAAGTTGTTCCATTTTCATCTCTTTCTTTACTTGATTGCTGTCTGGCTGCCACAATAATCATCAAGCCCTTGAGTTATCTTCTTGGACTGATTGCCTAAATCGCAGGCCTGAGTTTGACACAGGAAAGAGAAGTGAATGCAGATACACCCTGCCCCATATCTACAAGGGAAAGGCCAAATTGGCCTTCAAGATCCCATAGCTTCTTGCACCTTCCTTGCCTCTTCCTTTTTAGTTTCTGTAACCCTCCCCCTTGAACTCCCATCACTAGATGCTATTGGTAAATGCTATCCCAAAAGATGAATGGGTTTGTTTGTTTCTTTCCTGCCCAGCATTCAGTCTTCCTTGTGGCATCAGCTCCAGATGTTCTTTGGGAAGCCACCCTTCTCTACTCCCAGTCCCTCGGGTCTTTATGGATGGACCATCTAAATCTACAGGTGAGGCGTGTGACTCAGATCTGACCAAGGGAACTGCCACATTTTCATAGCCATGGCAATTGGCTCAAGGATGCGTATATCACCTAATCAGATCCCATGAAACACTGTGAGAATCCTGGGTCCCCCACTCTTTCCCACTAGATTGAATCTGGGAATATATAAGAAGTTGGTAAAGCTGTCTTGCAATTATTGAGAAGAGCCTATTTGCCAAAGGAACTAAGATAATGGATAAAAACCAAACTGAAAGAAACCAGGGTCTGGTGACATTGCAAGCTCCAGGTTTGGGCTAGGCCAAAAGCAAGAATCATCCTTGGATTTTTGCTTAAGCCAGTTTGGGTTGGGTTTGCAATTGAAAGAGCAGTGGATACACAAGCAATTCTGACCCTCCATCTTGTTCTGTGCCAGTTGGGTTACTCACCAGGGGCAGCATCGCATTCCCCCAAATGCAAAGGGCCTTGTTGCTGAAAGAGAAGAAAATGGGCAGCCACATTACTGAGAAAGAATGTAGATTCCGGGTCTTGTTGCATAGTCGGCATCATTTGTGAGCCCCCCACAATTTTAGAATTAAGGGGTGACCAATTAAGACCAAGCCTCAGCCATAGAATTATCAAACATATTTTGCTTTTTAGGGACACTAATTCCATTCATTCATTCATTCTACACAGATTTACTGAGCATTCACAATATACTAGGTAATATATTAGGACCCAGGGTGACAGGGGTACAGACAGGTCTCTGCCTCAGAGGATTTAGCACTGGACCCCCAGAGCCCTTACCTAAATCGGGCTGACAGTGTTAATTTGCAGAGACAGTAAATTACAAGGCAGTCTCTTCTGTCAAGGTCACAACTTCTAAAACAAGTGGCATTTGAATTAAAGTGGGGTTTACCCTTTACCCATATTTTCCAGGACACCAAAGCCAGCAAGGGCTTTGGAATTAGAACAGGGTTTCAGGCATCTTTATACTCTCTTGGTAAGAATGAAATTGGTAAAATCTTTTTAAGAAAGTGATACAGCAATATCTGTTAACATTATAATGTACATGCCTTGTGGTAGAAATACATAAAATAATTATAACAAAAACATTTTATTACATATGGTTTTTAGTATTTAAAAAACCTGGAAACAACCCAAATATCCAAATATGTACAAAATGAAATAATGTCTGAGATATATTAAGTGGAGAGAAAACTTTATGATACTATAATGTATAATATAGCCCTACTTTTATAATAAATAAGTAAATTAAAGTATTAGTAGATGCAGCTATGTTTGCAGATGCCTACGGAAAAAGATGTGAAAGAACATACACTGATGTATTAACAGTGGGATGAGACTTCAGGGCAGTTTATCTCAGTGGGATCTACTTCTGTATCACTGGGTTCTATAAAACGGGGGTCCCTAACCTATGGTGAGCTGTATCATTATTTCATTATATATTGCAATGTAATGATAATGGAAATAAAGTGCACAATAAATGTGATGTGCTTGAATTATCCCAAAACCATCCCCCCACCCCCGGTCCGTGGAAAAATTGTCTTCCATGAAAATGGTCCCTGGTGCCAAAAAGGTTGGGGATCACAAGTTCCGTGAGGGCAAGGGCTTTGTCTTGTTCGCCATAACCCCAGCACATAGAATCAGTCCAGGCATGGGACATGTTGAATGAATGAATATTATTTTTTAAATAAAAAACACAGAAATGTTTAAACATAGAAGTTAAAGGGCCCTTCTGTGATCCCAAGAGCTTGGTCTCTAGTTCCCTGATGCGCTTTTACAAGGAGGCAAGTTTGTGTCCCAGGGGGTTCCCAAGGGAGTCTCCAGCCTCACCTCCACTTCACTCCTCTCCAGTACGAGAGAGCTGGGGTTGACTTTCTTCTCCGTATCCTGCAGCTTGACCAGCTTTTCTATCAGGAACATTTTATCTTTGCCCTCCTGCCAAGAAGGAAAACAAACACATGGATGAATGATGGCGTGAGGTTGAGAAGCGACTGATGGCAAAACGGTTGATTTTCAGGTAGGTCGGGCCCCAGAAGTGGGATGGAGATTGCTGCCATGTTTTCTCTTGATGAAAGAAAAGAAACATTTTATAGCAAAGCTAAATTATCCTCCCCCCAATTATATGCCTTCTGCATTTTAATATTCCCTCTGAATTCCCCTAGCAAACTAGAGCAGTACCTCTAGCCTGCTGCCAGAAACAATAACTTACATGCCACTGTCTGAATGCCCAGGACAAATGGTTTTCAGTGTCCCCCTTCCTGGCATGCTCCCTGCCCCAGAAGCCTGTTCTATGAACCTAATATTGCCTGGGCCTTCTCTGTCCTCCCACTGAGAATGCCACAGTTCAGAGCTCTGCCCCTAAGGACATTAAGGGTGTTTCATTAGTCAAAGTCATCTGTGTTGATGGAGATCACTAATTCCAAATCAGGCAGAGGAACAAAGGAAGGGGCGGGCATGCCTTCCCCCAGGAGGGTGTAACACTTTCCTGCGAACTCTGTTGCAGATAAGAGAGCAGAGCATTCCACCTATGTGTAGAGGTGGTCAAGCAAGCCCCTTTGGTTGTGTGTCCCAGCGAGGTCGATCAAATCGAGCATCCACCAGTGGATCTTGATAGTAACAATTATTACAGTGGTGTTTTGCTTCAAGATGATTTTCTATTTCCCTCAGTCCTTCTATACATATTAATTGGAATTCTTCTGTAAGGAGTCTTTGGGAATTGGTGTTTTAAACAAGTTCCTGAGCTGCCTTGGATGTGGCTAGCTTGTTTGGAAATTTCTGTTCTGTAGCAGCTGTTTTCACACTCTAGTGCAAATTAGAATTACCTAGAGAGTATGCCAAGCTGCAAACTCCTAGGCCTTACTCAGTACATTTTTATTCAGAGGCTAAACTGCATTGTAGTTAAGAAAACAAACTTTGGAGTTGCCTGGTTCAAATCCCTCCATTTATTTACTGGTCTTGTGACTTAGGGTAAATCACTTCTCTCTGTAAGCCTCAGTTGCCTTAATTTTAAAATGGGAGTTTAAAGAAATGTATGTGCCCTGGAGTAGTTAAAATTAAATAGGAATTTTTGTTTGTCACTTAGCACAAGGCCAAGCCTCATGTTAGTACACAACAAATGTTATCTGTTGCTGTTATTGGTTGGGAGAAGGAGATAGCAGGAATTTGCATTTTTAATAAGCATCCAGGTGTTTTTGATTTAAGTGATCATACTTTGAGAAGGATTGTTGCAGAGCCTATTTCCAGCCTCTTATCTGGGTTCTTTTGGAGATAATGTCCCTGCCTTTGTGGTCCATCGTCTGGCCAAAATTCCCAAGCAGGCAGGCCTGTGGTGATGTCAAATCGTGCCATTCAAATGTCTCCCCAGTTGACCTGGCACTACCCTTACAACTCAAGGCTTAAGAATCAAATCCCTCCTGTACTGAGAGCTTCATAAGACTTTCCCAAACCATTCAGAGCTCTGCCAGAAAGAAGAGAAAAAGCACAACTAATCTATGCCCTTTCTTTACATTCCAAAAGAACCAATTCAAATTATCTGAAACCCCAACAATTCAAGCAGATACAACACTGGGAGTTCTGCTTCTTTCCCATGCTCCTAGCAACAAGCTCTCATGTCACAGTGATATTAGTATTTAGAAGAAAAGGGAACCAGCCCAGTAGCAGTGAGCATCCCTGTGCCTAGACTGGTCTCTAAATACCACTCACCAGGACTCCTTGAAGAAATGGAAGATTCCTGTTCCGGGACAGGAAATGAACAAAGATAAGCCTGGAACATCTTGTCCTTCCATGGAGCAAGGGAGCTATCAAAGACTTCCGGGGTCATGTCAAAGGAACCCAGGGTTTCTACTAGCAAAGGCTGATAATATATGAGTATTTAAAAAAACAAGACTGAAATTGAAAGACATCAAAATATATTTAAACCACGAATTCATAGCGATAATTTTAAAATCTTCATTGGCCATATTTGGAGGTTGCTAGATATAGTGGGTTAAACAGTGTCCTCCTTTAAAAAGACATGTCTAAGCCTGAACTCCAGGACCTGTGAATATGGTCTGTCTTGAGAATAGGGTCTTTGCAGAATAATTAAATTAAGGATCTCCTAGATTAGGGCAGATCCTAAATCCAATGGCAAGTCGTTAGAAGAAAAGATAAGAGAAGAAGAAACAGACACAGAGAAAAAGGTCTTGTGAAGATGGAGGCAGAGACTGGAGTTATGAAGCTCTAAGCCAAGAAATATCAAAGGGTTGCTGGCAGGGACCAGTGGCAGATTCTCCCTCAGAGCCTTAGAAGGAACCGGCCCTGCTAAAATCTTGATTTTGGCCTCCAGAACTGTGAGATAATAAATTTTTGTTGTTTTAAGCCACCAGATTTGTGGTAATTCATTATGGCAGCCCTAGCAAACTAATACACTAGGGCACTGACTCATAATTTTGAAAACTGTTAAATAAAGGGGAAGAATCATGCATTTACCTTGCCTCTCTTCTATGAATTACATTTCAAGGCAATCAAATACTTAATGAGCAAAAATTCTTTTTTTATAGAAGAATCCTACCTAATGAATGCAGGAGGAATTACGGAATTAGACTCTATGTTGTAATTTCTAATGAAATAAATGGATCTTCTAGGCATTATTAATCAAAGGCTGCTAAATCCACTAGATGGAAGGCTGATGGGAGACTTAAAAATGGATGGGTCAGCTTGGACCCACTGATCACTGTTAACATCGCAGAAAAAGAAACAATCAGACACTGTCTGTGTTGAGGCAATGCCATAGAAGGGCATAGCATCACCTATGAGGTACTCTGCCTACAGAATTGGATCTGGATATAATCGGGTCTCCAGATATCATCACTAGTTTACAGGACATAAAAAGAAAAAATAAGAAACATAATAAACAACACTGCAGGGTTGCAAATCAGATATGTGCAGAATATGGTAAATATAAAACAAATGACCCGCATTCTTCAACAATAAAAAGGCAAGAGAAAGTGGGGGGTGGTTATAGATTAAAAGAAAATTAAGCATATCAACCAAATGCAACACGTGACCCTTTTTCAGATTCTGATTTGAAAAACTCTGCTGTAAAAAGAAACTTAATGGCACAATTGGGGAAATTTGAACACTGGATATTAGATGATAGATTATTAAGTTTTTTTCAGGTGTAATGATGATATGGTGGTTATTTTTGTTGGTTTGATTGGTTGGTTTGTTTTTGTTTTTGTTTTTTGAGACAGATCTCACTCTTGCTGAGACTAGTGTACAATGTTGTCATCATAGCTCACAGCAACCTCAAACTCCTGGGTTCAAGCGATCCCCCTGCCCCAGCCTCCCAAGTAGCTGGGACTACCTGTGTGTGCCACCATACCCAGCTAATTTTTCTGTTTTTTGTAGAGATGGGCTCTTGTTGTATTGCCTAGGCTTGTCTTGAACTCTTGGCCTCAAGCAATCCTCCCACCTTGGCCTCCCAAAGTGCTAGGATTACAGTCGTGAGCCACCATGCCCAGCCTGTGGTTATGTTTTTAAAACGTCTTTATCTCATAGAGATGTATATAAAAGTTTTAACAGATTTAAAAAATATATAAAGCATAAGATTTTCTTTAAAATAACCCAGAGATTTGCAGGGAAGAGATCATGTAGATGAAATAAGAGTATACAAATAAATGTTAATGGTTGTTAGGGCTGGGTGGCAAGGATATGCCTATACCCTTGTACTGTTTTGGAATATGTTTAGAAATTTCTCTCTAAAGTGTTAGAAAGAGTGGGGAAGATAACAGAAGGGTCCAATGGGATTTACATTAATGATCTGTTCATGGAGCAGCCTGATCATAATCTTCCTTCCCTCTGTGATCTGCCAGTAAAGGTAGGTGATGATTCTGGAAGAGAAGAAAAGAAAGAATGACAGACACTTTTGCCAGTGGGTTGCAGGCTCTGAATTTCAACTGGATGCAAAGGAACTGGCATATTTGCTTGCAAATAGATTTTGGTCCCAACATGTTCCTGAAAAGTTATCAGGGTGAGTTACAGGTTAAATACATTAGAGCAGTGCTTCTTACCTGGCTGCACATGGAATCACCTGGAAGGTGGAGATAAGACCCATGCCATGGTCCCTCCTTAGACCAATTAATTGAGCATCTCTGGGCACAGGACAAGATATCAACATTTGAAAAATGTATGTGATTCTAATGTGCAGCTAGAGTCTGTGAATCTGGACAGTGCTGTTCAAACTGATATATTTCCTGGAATTTTGTTCAAATGCAGATTCTGGTTTAGTAGGTCTGGGGTACGGCCTAAGATTCTGCATTTCTGACAAGCTGCTGCCGTGATAAATACATATACATTATTTTGTCTTTGTCTCCTGTTCCTGGCACACAGTGCCTAAAACCCTTGGATCTCTGAATGCTAATGAGATGCCTGGTGGCTGGGGGCCCTAGGTAGCTTCACGATGGGGGCTGGTTACCAGAAGACCAAGGCATGATTAGGCATAATTGGAGTGTTGAAATTTTCAGCCCCTGCCCCATCATGACCTCTGGGAGGAGAGAGGGACTGGAAATTGAATGACTTACCAGTGGCCAATGATTTAACCAATCATAACTACCTAGGAGAGGGCATGGAAGCGCCACACCACCGCCTCCCCAAACCTTGCCTTAGGCATGTCTTCGATTTGGCCCTTCCTAAATCGTATCTTTTTTATTAAGCCAGTAATAGTTAAGTGCCTTTCTGAGTTCTGTAAGTCATTTTAGCAAAATATCAAACATGAGAGGTTGTGGGAATCTTTAAATTTGTAGCTGGTAGATCAGAAGTACGGGTGACAACTCGGGACTTAGGACTGGCATCTGAGGTGGCAGCAGTCTTATGGGACTGAGCCCTTAACACGTGGGATCTAATGCTAGGTCAGGTAGATAGTGTCAGAATTGAATTAACTTGTAGGACACCCGGTTGTTGTCTGGGGAGTTGGAGAATTGGTTGGTGTGAGGAAAAACCCCACACACTGAGTGTTAGAAGTGTTGTAAGTGAAAACTGCACAGGCCCAGTACATTAGAAGCCTGGAGGAGTGAGGCACCAGGGGACCTGACCTTTCTAAGGAGCCCAGTGGCTACCTGGTGTCTGGGAGGGAAAGCATGACCAAGAGCCAGGGGAGCCAGGTTCCAGCGTCCTCTGCCTCTGAGGGGCCCTGCAGCCTGGAACCTGTCTCTGTAAGTCTCGTCAATCCCATCTATGAAACTGAGGAGTTGCTCTACAGTCTACATCAACTGGTTCCAACAGTTTGTGCTTTTGAATTGTGTCTCTCTACGTGAGAAGCTGCAATCTCAATGCCATAAGGCAGCGATCCCCAACCTTTTTGGCACCAGGGACGGGTTTCATGGAAGACAGTTTTTCCATGGACCAGGGGTGGGGGATGGTTTCAGGATGATTCAAGCACATTACATTCATTATGCAGTCAAACATCTCTGTTAATGATAATGTGTATTTGCAGCCATTCCCCAGCGCTAGCATCACTGCTTCAGCTCCACCTCAGATCATCAGGCATTAGATTCTCATAAGGAGCTCACAACCTAGATCCCTCCCATGCACAGTTTACAGTGGGATTCGTGCTCCTATGAGAATCTAATGCCGCTGCTGATCTGACATGAGGCAGAGCTTATGCAATGATGGAGCGATCACTGGCTTGCCAGCCACTTACCTCCTGCTGTGGGACCTGGTTCCTAACAGGCCACAGACCGATACCAGTCTGTGGCCCAGGGGTTGGAGACTGCAGCCATAAGGGCTAAGCAAGAGGGACAGCCACATATCAGCCAACCAATTATTACAGGCAGGAAAATGGGCTCAGTGTCAGCAAATCTACTTTTTCACAAGAAGCCAGAAATTACTTTTTTTTAATTTGAAAATTAAGCATGACAGGCTACAAATAATGCCCAAACCATTTTAACATATCACGGTCTCAGAAAGAATCACATATATAGTTTTCCTCAGCATTCTTATATCCATTTTTTCATATTATTCTCATATCATCTCTTAAGAGGGATAAACAGGCATTGCTTTCTTCATAGAACAAACAACAGAAAAAAAACTAGGACAAGAATATATTAAATAACTTGTTAAAAGTCTATTCACGGGCAGAGTGACCCATAACACTGAGCTATGCTGTAGCTCTTTGCTTTCCAATCAAACATGCCTAGGGCTGTTCACATCTCATATTAATGAAGTGTTTTCCCAAGCCCTTGGCTTTCCCCCGCTAGCTTCCCAAGGTGCCCCACTTACAACACAATGAGGGTGAGGATGAAAAAGAAGTGCACACTTCCAATGAGGTTCCGATAGATCCAAACAACCCACAGGTAGCCGGGCCTTTTACTTAGGGTGTCGATCCAGCTGTAGATGGAGTGAATGAAGAAAGGCAGACCCCGAAATGGACCACAGTTAACTGAAGGTTTCAATCTGGTAAAACAAGGGATGGAAAAACATCTCTAGCACAAGACTGAGGTATAGTTATTTTAGAATCAAGGTGTCCTTGCTGGGCTCTGGACCTAGAAACAGCAATTCTTGCCTGTTCCACCCAAACCCCCCTTGAAAAAAGAAACCCTGTCCCTCACTGCCTGGCTGCTGTGACCTGCACTCCAAGGCCCAGCTCTTGGACCAGAAGTATCACCTCATCCAACAGTGGCCAATCCAAAGGCCAGGCAGTGACCTCTGCGGTATCTTGGCTCAAAGACATAAATTGGGGCAAGCAGACTTTCTTTCCTGGGAACTCGAATTAGGAAACGAGAAGAGGGAGGCCCGTTAGCTATGGAAGCTGCAGTTGGCAACAATGACAAGCTGCGGTCAGTTGTCATGAATGAGCAGGAACGAGAGGGCAAAAGGAACTGGTTAAAAAGAAAGAAAAGAGAGTGGATACGCCAAGAGGGACAAGGACATTGTGAAGCAAAGCAGCCTTCTCTGGAGCTGCTTAAGTTCCTATTGGCTCCAGCTCCACATGTGTCCTAAAAATCAACTCCTTTGTTTGCTCATTCATTCACTCATTTGCTCATTCATTCATTCGACCGTGGTTTATTCTACCAAGCCCTGTTCTAGACAGGCTTCCATATTAAACAAGACAGACATAGTCCCTGCCCTCTTGGGCTCACGTTCTAGTGGGAAAGATGGACAAGCAATGAGTAAACAATTAAATAAAGTCTCAAACAAAGGCATTTCTAACTGTGAATGGAGGAATGAAGGAAAGAAACTCAGGCCTGAGAGAGAGCAGCGGTGGGGATGGACAGCAGACCAGGAGGGCCATGAAGGTCAGATCTTGGAGATGACCTTGGAGCTGGGAATCAGAGGGTGGAGGGAAGGCAGCCAAGCAGAGGGAGAGCCCTTCACTCAGGGTGCCCTGCCTGTGTGGGGAGGGGCTTGCTGGTGGTGGGGCTGCAGTGGGGTAGAGCTGAAGGGAGGTGAGCCCCGAGGGGTAGGAGGGAGTGAGGTCACTTAGCCTTCCAGTTAGCTTAGATGAAGCTCTGCTGTTGTGTGGGGGGCTCGCCTCTCCCCATTCTGGGAAGCTTCGGTTCTTGGCAGAAGTGAGGAAGCTGCTCCTGACTATGTCACTTGATGGGTGGTGACCCAACTAGGATTTGTTCCCTCCCTCAATTTTAGTGCCTATGGTTACCAAGGGAACTTGGATTAAACACTGTATCAAGCATGTCTTTTTATTTTGATGTTTTGACATCTGGGGTCTTACTGCCCTTCCCAGAGCTAGGCTGCAAAGCACATCTTTCATATGCAAACCAACCGATCCAGAGCCCATACCCACAACCACTTCCTACTCTTACAAGTTGTCACACTCTGGGCCACTATTCTTCTGCCCCAGTCACTCCAGGGCCAGGTGCCAGACAGCTCAGGACAGTCCCTACACCCCAGAGGCTGCTGAGATTATTCAAACTAGCCCAAACTGAGCCTGCTTGCCCTGCCTCACCCATTCCTTACCACAGGAACCATAACACAGATTCTTTCCTGCATCTTCCCCTCGCTCCCTCTGCTCCTGCCTGATCCTGGTGCTCCCCATGTGGCTGGCGTGGCACTGAGCAGCCCCTCCTCTTGGGAACTGTGAGTAATAAACTATCTTTCCAATGGCAATCATCTCCTGATCTGCTGGCCTCACCATACCTGAATCCCAATAAAACCTACATCCTAAATACTCACCCACCCAGTCTCTAAACCCTCACCCAGGGCCACCATCTCCTACCTCCAGATGGTGATGGCCAGGGTGAACAGGACGCCGGTGAAGGATGGGAAAAAGAGCAACAAGATGAAGACAGTCATCATCTGGGAGGCCCTCCAGGCCTTGCTCGGAGGCTGGAAGTTCATCATCAGGCTGATCTGGAGAGAGAGAAGCAGCCAACTCCCATCTGTGGCCAGAGGAGTGGCCAGAGGGGACCCCAGCCAGGTACCGGCTTCCCCGTGCCCCCTTCCCCGCTCCAACCGCCACCAGCTCACACGTGACTGGGCAAAGCCAATGGGTTTCAACGTTGGACTGACTCACATTTTTGGCGTAAAACATGATGAAAAGAGTAATCATTTGGATAAAGGGCAGCAGAGGGCAGAAGAAGATTCCAATCCTGCGATGGAGAGAGGGTGAATGTTGGAGGGCAGAGCAGACACGAGGAGTGGGCGTGAATACGGAGGTGTGTGGGCTGGATTGTGTCTCCCCCAAAATCCATATGCGGAAGTCCTAACCCTCAGTACCTTAGAGTGTAACAGTATTTGGAGACAGGGCCTAAAGAGGTGATTGAGGGAAAATGAGGTCACTGTGATGGGCCTTAATCCAATACAGCTGTTGTCTCTAAAAGAAGAGATTAGGACACAGACACACACAGAAAGGGAAGACCACGTGAAGACATGGAGAGAAGATGAGCATCTAAAAGCCAAAGAGAGGGGGCTGGAACAGATCCTTCCCTCGTGGCCCTCAGAAGAAACTGGCCTGCCAACACCTTGACCTTAGACTTCCACCCCCAGAACTATGAGAAAATAAGTTGCTATTGTTTAAGCCACCCAGTCTGTGGTACTGTGTTATGGTGGCCCTAGTGAACGAATATAGCAGGGGACTGTTTCCGTCACAGCAAACCGGGCAAATTCCTGCTACACCCAGTGTCCACAGCTGCTCTCTGCCCAGCTTTGGAAAGGAGATTTTGCAGAAAAACCACTCACACAGCCACTGCACCTGCAGATGGCCTTCAGCATGCCCTAGGCTAGCGTGTCCCAAGTGTGGGACATACGCTATCCTTCCTGCCCCCTTCCACCTCTCTCCGGCCCCACGGTACTCAAGAAGGTCTGAGGTCCTATAGGGACAAAGCATTCAACTGAATCAAGTTACAAATGAGAAAGGCATTTCCTTCCCAGCTCTCCTTCAACACTCCTGCGTGCCGAAAGAAGAAAATCTCAGTGTGGTGCTAGAATGTCTTTAACTCCTAACACTTGCCAATTTCCCATTTTTTAAAAAAAGGAGTAGGCTTTGGACGGAGAGCCTTGGCAGACAGCGGCATCTAGCTAGAATGTAATGACTGTTTGGATGGGATTGCTTTTATTTTTCCAGTTATTTGTGATTTCTGCCAAATGGCACCAGTTTTCCATTAAGGATTGGAAAATAAAGACTTCTTTTAAAATGTATGGGAGTTTTTTAAAAAGGCAAGCAATTTAAAAGAAACTATCATGTCGATAATAGTACAGGTGATATGTAGATATGCCAAAAAATAGGCAGGCTGGTGTGAAAAAGACTCAAGTTTGGGAAACACGTTCCCCACCTCGTCTCTGCCATCGTCCCTGACACACGCTACTTTTCTGTCATTATATTATATTCTTTTCAAGCTTATCATCAAAGGCAATATTCTAAAAACCACAAAGGCTAAATTGCCATGGTGAAAGGAGAAGATAGGTGTTTTCGATTGTGCTTATTGACAATTTATCAACAAAAACCTCAAAGGCCCAGAAGTTGTAACAGTCATTTCTATTGTAATTTCTTCCTTTGCAACCTCCATCAAATAAGCAATATTATGAGGGCTCAGGACCTAGGATTAAAAAGCTTGGCCATGGCCGGGCGCAGTGGCTCACGCCTGTAATCCTAGCATTCTGGGAGGCCAAGGCGGGTGGATTGCTCAAGGTCAGGAGTTCGAGCCCAGCCTGAGCAAGAGCGAGACCCCCGTCTCTACTAAAAATAGAAAGAAATTATCTGGACAACTAAAAATATATATATAGAAAAAATTAGCTAGGTATGGTGGCGCATGCCTGTAGTCCCAGCTACTCGGGAGGCTGAGGCAGGAGGATCGCTTGAGCCCAGGAGTTTGAGGTTGCTGTGAGCTAGGCTGATGCCACGGCACTCTAGCCCGGGTAACAGAGTGAGACTCTGTCTCGGAAAAAAAAAAAGCTTGGCCACAGTGAGCATTCAATAAACAGAGCTATATTATTATTACACTGTGTCATATAATTCACCCACATTATTTTTTTAAAATATGAAAACAAAAAAACCCTTAAGAGTGCTTGTAAGTACCATATGATTGAGCAATTCTACTTCTGGGTATATATCCAAAAGAATTGCAAGCAGGACCTAGAAGAGCTATTTGCACACCCATGTTCATAGCAACATTATTCACGACAGTCTAAAGGTGGAAGCAACCCGAGTGTTCAAGGACAAGTGAGTAGATAAATAAAATGTGGTCTGTGCATACGATGGGATATTGTTCAGCCTTAAAAAGGAAATGCTACAACATGGATGAACATTGAGGACATGATGCTAAGTGAAATAAGCCAGTCACAAAAAGATAAATAATATATGAGTCCATTTATATGAGGTATCGAGAGTAATCAGACTCACAGAAACAAAAAGCAGAATGGTGGTTGCCAGGACGAGAGGGCGGAGGAAATGAGGAATTATTTAATGGGAATAGCGTTTCAGTTTTGCAAGATTAAAAAGTTCTAAAGAATGGCTGCACAACAATGTGAATATACTTATTATGCCTTTTTTACTACAATTAAAAAAGAGTGCTCCTAAGAATAACAACAGTTATAATATCTCCATTTATACATTTCTTAGTCAAGTATGTGCTAAGCACTCAGTATATATATTTTCTTATTTAATCCTCTCCCAAACCCTGTAAATAGGTACTATTAGCTCTCCACCATTTGAAGATTAGAAAACTAAGTTTTAGAGATAGATTAAGGAACTTGCCCAGAGGCATTCTAGTTGAAATAATGTGGGTAAAAGGCCTTTGGAAGCTGCCAAATTGCCAGGGTGACCTGGCAGTGAGCAAATACATTGCCTAAACTGCCAAAGAAAAGTCTTCACTATCTCTAAAATAAATTCACTGACACTAAGTTATTTGCAGACAGCCAAATCACCCAGGGCAACTTTAAAGAGTCAGAAAATAAAATAATTTCCAGTTCTATGGCATATTGGAGTTTGCAAAACCAGCTTTCATCTACCGTGGCATTTAATCCTCAACATGATTCAAAGGCAGCTATTATTACGTGCACTTTACAGATGAGGAGATTAAAACCGCATTTTGTTTATCCAGTCATTTGTCCAGGAACACTTGAGTTGCTTCCACCTTTTAACTATTGTGAATGATGCAGCTATGAACATGATGTGCAAATATCTCTTCCAGGTCTTGCTTGCAGTTCGTTTGGATATATATCCAGAAGTAGAATTGCTCAATCATATAGCACTTATAAGCACTCTTTAAGCATTTTTATTATTTGTTTTTAAAAAATAATGTGGGTGAATTATATGACATAAGGTAATAATAATATAGCTCCATTTGTTGAGGATCAGAGAAGCTCAGTGACCTCAATGAGTGGCAAAGCCAACCCCAGAATCCAAGTTTATCCATTTCTGAATCCACTACTTTCAAATTAGCAACCCCCCCGTTAGATGGACCCTGGGAATGTGATCCATCACACAGAATTCTGACATTAATTCCATCATGTTAAAATAAATAAGGAAAAATAGTCACTGCCTATTTATTTGAGGTTTCTAGGTGAGCTTATAAAAAAATTCATGCAACCAGCCGACTATTCTCAACATGCACACACTCACAGAGTTGCTAAAACAGAAGTCTCAAATCCCAAAGACTGCAGAGACCCCACCAGATGGCACGTCAGTGAAGCAGACCAAATATAAGAAACACGTGGCCCTCTCTGCCTTAATTTATTCCTCACTTCTCTTGAGTCATGGATGCAAAGTCAAGTCTGCATCCAAACTAACAGCATAAGCGCAACGAGAAATGGCAAATCAGTGCTGAGAGAAAAAAGTTCAAGGTGGAAACTGTGGCAAACTGGAGATGCTCACCCCAGTTCAAGGCCTGGCCAAATGTTACCATGATGGGAGATGGCCAGATCTTCTGGAGAGAAGGCAAAAATCTAAATTTTATGTGAAATCTCCTGATTCTTAAATATGAGTCTTTGTCTTAGTCCATTTGGGCTGCTATAATGAAACACCATAAACTGGGTGGCTTATAAATAACAGAAATTTATTTCTCTCAGTCTGAAAGCTGGGAAGTCCAAGATGAAGGTGCCAGCAGACTTGGTGTCTGGTGAGGGCCTGCTCTCTGGTTCATAATCAGTGCCTTCTTGCTGTGTCCTCACTTGGTGGAAGGGGCAAGAGGTCTCTCTCAGGCCTCATGTATAGGGGCGCTAATCCCATTCATAAGGGCTCCACCAAAAACCAAATCACCCCTTAAAGACTCCAACTCCTAATACCATCACATTGGGGGTTAGCTTTCAATATATGAATTTTGGGAGACAAAGACATTCCGACCACAGCAATGGTTAATTAAAATTTTAGAAAAAGCACTATGTGGGACAAGCAAAACAGCTGATTCTTGTCTGAAGTCCTCAAGTTCTCACACAGGAAAAGAATCGTCTAAATGCTAAATTCATGGCTCTCAAACTGGCTGGATTTGGTAACACCTGTGGCAGTTTTACAAACAACATACTCTAGTGTCTCCCATCCAAGTACTAATCAGGCCCGACCCTGCTTAGCTTCCAAGATCAGATGGGATCAGGCTCATTTAGTGTGGTATGGCCATAGATAAGATTCTGGGGTCTCATCACCAAAATGCCAACTCCACAGTCAGGTGGGAACTACTGGGTATTTCACAGAGTCACAAAACTCACCAAACCAGAGTTTGTGCGTAGATCAGTTCTAGAACATTCCTGGCAATGTCAAACTCCTGTAAGCCAAGGCTTGTGATAAACTGCATCCCAATGATTCTGTGAAAACACACTGGGTTGAGTACCCAAACCATACCCAAACACAAACTTCTTCGAAGGACCCCTCAGCCTAAGATAATCATCAAAAGAGACCCTCACAGTTTGAAATAAAGTTGTAAGTTTCTTTGCAAATTTTTGAAAAGTCCTAAGTATATAAGCATGCTTTTGAAGAAATAATTGAGAGAATTGGGGGAAAATGGATTTAACACAAAGCAGTCAAGTGGGGTTACCACTAAAGTGGTTCAAAAAAATTCCAGAAATCATTTGTTACCCTCATTATTAAATATTTAAATTATCCCACCTATTATTTGTTTATACCACTCTTTGTTTATTAGACCTTTTTTCATGAACCAGATAAACTCAGCACCTCCCAACTCAAAATTTAAATTTTTGGCTACTACTATCAATTCATTATTTCCCTGTTTTCTAAATCTACAAGGAGGAAACCAAGGTTTCCATTTACTCTGGGGAAACTTGGGACCACATTGATTTCTTCATAAAAGAGGAGTTGCCAATAAAAAAAGTTCTGCCAAAAACCTCTTTTCATCTTTATGTCCAGGCTCTGGACAGAGACTGGAATAAAAGCGTGTTTTGGCAGAACTGAGTGAAGAAATTTGGCATTGAACCTACCCACTAAGGAAAAAATCAACATTGGGTCACACCATCTGATCACCACAGCAGATTGCAGAAATACGTAAATGTCTACAAGGAATCAGAGGCTCATGGTGTTATTAAAAACTCAATGAATGAATAAATAGCAAAGAACTACACATGGGCCAATGATGACAGTGCCTCAGTTCTGTAGACCTGGTATCTAATATAAAAACTAGTGCATTAATTAAATTAAATTACAACAATGAGCTGAATCTATATGTACTGACATGGGAAGACACCAAGACATAGTGACAGATTAATAAAAGCAAACTCTACCATGATTTTGCAGTGTGTCCCCACTTTTGTTTTTGAAAACTATATAGTACTATACAGTATAGTCACACACAGCAGTGTGTACATAGAAAAATCTGGAGGAATATAAACTAGAATTTTAAACTATCTATGGTGGATACGATTTCAATTGGCTCAGTTTCTGTCTTTTATTTCTAGAATGTTTTTCCCCCCAAAAGAAGGTTGTAAAGGGTCAAGTGAACCCAATGAACTATGACAACAGGACTGTCAGGTTAAGGTGAAATTTTAGTTAATTTAGAAGAGAACGATATCCCAAAGGACAATAGGCAGACTTAGAACAGTGTGCACTTTGAGCACATAAGGGACCTGTGCTTCCCATTCAGCCAGGAATCAGGTTCTGGTTACAGAATCAGGTACTGTTACACATTAGTGACAAATGTTTACCTCCTCAGAAACTCCCCCAGGAAGGAATCCGCCAGTGAGAACACGAAATCCATGAGAAGGAGCCGGTAGATTTCCTGGCCAATGAGAGTTTCCCAACACTGGAAGACAAACAAGAATCAGGATGCGGGAAGGGGCTGTGGCCACAGCTCAACTCCCAGGCTGTTCCTGGCTCTATGTAATTGTTAGGACATGGCTGGAGGCTCAGTTTGACCAAGTCCTTATGTATCCAGAAAAGTGGACCCATTCTCTGCAAAAACATAGCTGAGTTTGTTTTCAGGGGTGCTTATTCTCTTTCTGGGCTTCTTCTTCCCCCCACCCCAAGGCTTGCCTTCCACATGTACCAAAACTTTCCCTTCTTATGATCTCTCCCCTTAAAATGATTCATCTCTGTCCTATCCCCTCTGGATCCTGATTCTCAGCCAGGGCTAATCAGTTTCTTCAAGACAGCAGGCAGCATCAATGGCTAGAAATGCCTCCACTCTTTCTGCTTATTGACCTTACAAAAAATCAATTAATGTCTGCTTAATTAAAAGAGTGACCAAGAGATTTAGCAGGCTGGTGTAAACTGGAAGTTTGAATTAGTTTATGGAACTGGTGGTCAGTAACCTCTGCAGGAAGTCAGTGCTATCAGCTGATGGACTGGGAGATTTTAGATTTGGCTGAAGGGGGAAGGCGAGTTTTGGATGCACAGCCCAAGGATGAATGGATGGATGAATGGATAAATGGCTGGATGATGGATGAATATATGGATAGATAAATGGATGGATGGATGAATGGATGGATAAATCAGTGGATGGATGGATGGGTGGATGGATGGATCAATGGATGGATGGTGGATGGAAGAATAACTCTAACTTGGAGGGCTGGTTTTGAACCCCGGTGATGATTAGGGAGAAAAGTGAAGGTGCCATGTTCATGTGAGCTGGTTTGAGTCTGCACACAGCAGTGCTATTTTGGAGCCCAGGAACAAAGGGTGGCAGAGAGTTGGAGAAAAGCCCCAGCCTCCCTGACTCCACTCCCAGTCCCAGGGCACCTTCTGTACCTGAGGGCTCAGGATGGCCATGAGCTGAGGATGGCTGTGTGATGTGGAGGCCCATTCTCAGGGGAGACTCAGTAGCAGGGGCATCCCAATGAGAAGGCCAGGAGGTTGGCCTGTTCCTGAGTCCACATGGGACACCACTCTCACAGAGGGGGCTCTGAGAAGCTGTCATTAAGTGAGGGAGGGCCAGGAATGATCAGGGTTAGGACATGAGTGTTACTGCCAGCAGTGTGTGCTTGCAGATGGGTAAAAGCCAGGTTACAGGAAAAACAGAACATCAAGAATCAAAGAGGATCTTGTCCAAAACCAAGGCTGTTAGGACAGATTCGCATTAAAATTACCGCCATCTGTTGCATGTCCACCATATGCTGGGCGCTATGCTTATACTGCACATGATATTGTTTAATCTCCATTTTACAGATGAGAAAACTGACGCTCAAAGAGATTAAGTGCCTGCAGATGACACAGCTGCTTTCAAATCAGGTCTTCCTGACTCTAGAACCTGAGATTTTTAGTGAGACCCCTCCTGCCTTGTGTTGTTTTCCAGATCAGCAGCTGTTCTCTCTTCCCACAAGGGATGAATGGCTCTTGAGAAACTCATATCCTCCCTGGTGGTCAAAGGCTGAGAAACCAAACTTAAGGCAGAACAGCGTGGAAATCTTACCTCTTCACCAGACAGGGCCACGATGTTGAGCCAATAGTAACAAAGAATGCCAATAATTGATATTTTCAGAAAGATGTTTCTAAACAGAAGAGAAAACATTTATCATTACCTTCCATGGCAGGCTTGCTTGCTGTTTGCCAATGTTCCCTTCTGGGCACATGGTAGGATAGAAATTCCTGCCCCCCTGTAGTTGGATGGGGCCATGTGGCTAGTTCTGGTAAATGAATCGTGACCAGAAGCAATGTGTGTCACTCTGTGTCACTTCTAAGCTGGAGCATTTAACGCCAGTGTGAGACCCTCCAGAACTCTCTGCCTTCCCTTTGGAATAGCAGTCAGCAACATTCACGATGGTCACTGTCTCTCAGCCTGGATCCCTCATGAACTAACATGAACGGATCCCTCCTGCAAAACCACAACACATGCGTAGCATGAGCAAGAAATACACCTTTGTGTCCCAAGCCTCTGAGATTTTGGGGGTTGTTTGCTGCACTGCAACATAACCTAATTTATTCTAACTGATATGCTCTCTTTTGTTGCATCTTCAAACGATCTGATTTCACTTCCCATTATAATAATAGTAAATGTATAAATATTCACTGGGTGCTGACCCAGGATACTCCGCTAAACCTGTTATTGAATCACCTCCCTTAATCATAACAACTCTATCACCAGGCTGATGGTATTTTATGGCCATCTTACCCAATCTGCAAGGTTATGGGGTGACTGAGGCCTAATATGTTCCCCTTTATACATACTTAAAAAAAAGTGGTACCCTAGACTGGTGGGTGGGATGTGGGGAATAATGAGAGTATAGAATTCACCTACGGTTGGAGTTTTCATATGAATTGGATATAATTGACTGACCGATTGG